GATGTTGATGGCAGAGATTTGAGCGGGCGGACGTGGCAACGGGAGACTAGCAGCAGGGCACAGCGCCAAGTCGAAATGCGTTTCATGACTCCGCAGAGCCGAGGGCATGTGAGGCCGCAGCAAAATGAGAGCTTTCCCCCCTCCTCCTCCTCTTCTCTGCCTTCTCTTTCCCCCAGTCTGGCATCAAGCAGCACCGCGGCTGAGAAGCAGAGGGTGGCAAGGCGCCAGCTGGGCAGTCGGACAGAAATGCAGGCTGAAAGCCGCTGGGGAATATAAGCTGGAGGCAGGCGGGGAGGCTGGTTGGTAAAGCGCAAGCCGCATTAAAACGCACACACACACACAAACAAGCTGCCTGTCTGTCTCGCAATCTGGAAGGTTGCAGGCGGGCCAGGCCTGCAACGAAATGTTGCAGCGCGCAGTGGGGGGAGGGCGTGCCAGCCCGCATCCTAGGATTGTAGAATGGCAGGGTTTTGGAAGGGGACACCTGGCGAAGCCGGACGTTGGGAAATTCAGCGCAGGTAAAAGAAAGCCCTTCTTCGTGCGGTGCGGTTGTTCGACTGTGGAACTCCCTGCCACAGGAGGCCACCGAGCAAACTTTCGTGGAGTTGTAGAGTTGGAAGGTCCTGTCCAACCCTCTACAAAGGGTCTCTCATTGCGTCCTAATGAAACCTCAGCCGGCCACTTTTGGGAAAAGTGTAGGGGGAAATAGAAATGAGAGAAATAAAGGCAAAGTAATGTCAATGACAAAAGGGTGGCGCTGTGGGTTAAACCACAGAGCCTAGGGCTTGCCGATCAGAAGGTCGGCGGTTCGAATCCCCGCGACGGGGTGAGCTCCCGTTGCTCAGTCCCTGCTCCTGCCAACCTAGCAGTTCGAAAGCACGTCAAAGTGCAAGTAGATAAATTGGTACCGCTCCGGTGGGAAGGTAAACGGCGTTTCCGTGCGCTACTCTGGTTCGCCAGAAGCAGCTTAGTCATGCTGGCCACATGACCTGGAAGAACTGTGGACAAACGCCGGCTCCCTTGGCCAGTAAAGTGAGATGAGCGCCGCAACCCCAGAGTCGTCTGCGACTGGACTTAACTGTCAGGGGTCCTTTACCTTTACCTTTTTAATAGGTATCTAAAGCTATTTGCAAGGGAAGTGGGTGGCGCTGTGGGTTAAACCACAGAGCCTAGGACTTTCCGATCAGAAGGTCGGCGGTTCGAATCCCCGCGACGGGGTGAGCTCCCGTTGCTCGGTCCCTGCTCCTGCCAACCTAGCAGTTCGAAAGGACGTCAAAGTGCAAGTAGATAAATAGGTACCGTTTCGGTGGGAAGGTAAATGGTGTTTCCGTGCGCTGCTCTGGTTCGCCAGAAGCGGCTTAGTCCTGCTGGCCACAATCCCGGAAGCTGTACGCCGGCTCCCTCGGCCAGTAAAGCTAGATGAGCACCACAACCCCAGAGTCGGCCACGACTGGACCTAATGGTCAGGGGTCCCTTTACTAATGTCAATGACACAACAATTAAAATTATAGTAATAACAATAAAGTCACACTTTGATGAAAGGAAGTCCATTTTTGTTTAAAGTTTGTTTTTGTTAATATATGCATTGTATCTTATTATTTTTCTTTTTCTTTCCTTCTTTGTTTTTCATATCTTTTCTGTGTTGTGATCTGTTGTAATATGCAGTAAAATCAATACAAAATTTTTTTAAAAGGAAAAAAAGAAACCCCAGGCAGCAAAAGGAGCGCTGAGCATGTGCAGAATGTGGTCTGTTGCCAATGCAGGGATAGAGGGGGAAATAGGAAGCAAGGGGTGTAATGGAATATCCTGGAAAAGGGTTGGAGGTGTCTTGAACCTGGAAAAGAGGAGACACAGAAGAGCTGCCATACGTCTGGAATTTCACAGACATAATCCGGAATACTGCAATCAGAAGCAGTGTACGTGCGGAAGTTGGCCGAATGTCTGTGAAGCTGGCTACTTGTCAGTGTCGTTTTTGCTGATTTTTCCGTAAAAGTGAAAAGAAACTCAACAGCTTTGCCAAGAAAAGCTCTGCAACGGTTGCGTTGGGGTTTTCACTTTGCGAAATACGGCAATCCTACCTAAGTGGGATCCTACCTAAGTGACAAACCTAGACAGCATCTTAAAAAGTAGAGACATCACCTTGCCAACAAAGGTCTGTATAGTTAAAGCTATGGTTTTCCCAGCAGTGATGTATGGAAGTGAGAGCTGGACCATCAAGAAGGCTGATCGCCGAAGAATGGATGCTTTTGAATTCTGGTGCTGGAGGAGACTCTTGAGAGTCCCATGGACTGCAAGAAAATCCAACCTCTCCATTCTGAAGGAAATCAGCCTTGAGTGCTCACTGGAAGGACAGATCGTGAAGCTGAGGCTCCAAGACTTTGGCCACCTCATGAGAAGACAAGACTCCCTGGAAAAGACCCTGATGTTGGGAAAGATGGAGGGCACAAGGAGAAGGGGACGAAGGAGGATGAGATGGTGGGACAGTGTCCTCGAAGCTACCAGCATGAGTTTGACCAAACTGCGGGAGGCAGTGGAAGACAGGAGGGCCTGGCGTGCTCTGGTCCAGGGGTCACGAAGAGGCAGACACGACTAAACAACAACAACACCTAAGTGGGGAGAGGATAGCTGCCTTCAGATAACCCAAGACATGGATGGTGATGAGCGGTTAGAGGGAGAAGACTGGGGAGACATCGGAAGGCGAAGAGGTCACAGGGTTTGGGAGAGTTTGTGGCAGAGAATCGGAGGCAGAAGAACAAAGCAAGAAAGGAGAGAGGCAGAGAGGAGTTCGGCTGGGGAAGAGTCATGAGTATCTCCCCCTCCTGCTGCGACCAACTCCTTTCCCCTCTGGTCTCCCAGAACCAGAAGAGGCATGAAAAGGGCGTAGGAGAGGTTGGCTGCGGGCAGGTGTAGTCTCCGAATGCTTGGGGAAAACCCTGGAGAGGAGGGGACTGAGATGGCTGTGGGGAGACAGGGACCTATAATATTGGCAACTGATCCATGGGTGGGGGGGGCAAGTTCTTGTGCTCATTAGGCCTGACTGCCCATCAAGTCTGTGCCTATCCTGTTCTTGCTGCTACTACTACTACTACTACTACTACTACTACTACTAATAATAATAATAAAATTTATACCCCACCCTTCCCAGCCAAGACCAGGCTCAGGGCGGCTAACACCCGATATAAAACAAATTGATTGAAATACAACTTAAAAACAAGATTAAAATAAAACATTAAAACATTCAAAGACAGCCTCATTTCAATGGAAACTCAAATCAAAAACTTTTTGGGGGATGAAAACGTCAAGTCTTCGCCAAGGCTAACTTTCCAGACTGGTCCTACATGGGCCAGAAAAAAGCCAGGGAAGTCCCCAAATAGGAGTTCTGTCACAGGAGGAGAAAGGGAAAAAGAAAGAGGGGGAGGGAATCAAATTGATTCCAAGCCGAAGGCCAGGTGGAACAACTTTGTCTTACAGGCCCTGCGGAACAAAGTTAAATCCTGAAGGGCCCTGGTCTCAAGAGACAGAGCATTCCACCAGGTCGGAGCCATCACTGAGAAGGCCCTGGCCCTGGTTGAGGCTAATCTGACTTTCTTAGGGCCCGGGACCTCTAGGGTGTTGTTATTTATGGACCTTGAGGCTCTCCGTGGGGCATACCGGGAGAGGCGGTCCCGTAGGTACGAGGGTCCTAGGCCGTGAAGGGCTTGAAAGGTCAAAACCAGCACCTTAAATCTGACCCTGTACTCCACCGGGAGCCAGTGCAGCTGGAAAAGCACTGGGTGAATATGCTCCCATGGCAGAGACCCCGTGAGGAGCCTCGCAGCATTCTGCACCCGCTGGAGTTTCTGGGACAGTTTCAAGGGCATCCCCGCGTAGAGCGAATTGCAGTAGTCAAGCCTGGAGGTGACGGTCGCATGGATCACTGTGGCCAGGTCAGGGCGGGAAAGGTAAGGGACCAACTGCTTGATGCGGCGAAGGTGGAAAAATAAAGAGTTAACTCAAACTGGCACAGTGTGATTTATTGCTGTTGGCATGTGTCTGCCTCTGTATGATGTTTTTAAGCAGATAGTGCTTTGCGGAGGGGCTTGCAGATCCACCCCTAAATAATGTCTAGCTGCTCACACGCTGAACGCTGCAAATCGGGTTTGCTGGGGCTGCAGAGAGCGCCCTGCCAGAAGCTGATCGTGCTGGAGACCCGGGATGGAGCTACTGCGTTACTCATGGAGATTAGAAGAATACAATCTGTCTCGTTGCGGCAGCAGCTGATGCAAGACTGGCTGGCGGGGTGGGGGAAGGATTAAGGATGATCCGGCCTTGAGAGGGAGAGGGGGGGAGACCAGCAAAGGACCAATGATCGGGAGAGCGAGAAGATAAATTAATATAGCTGAAGGGGTTTGTGCAAATATAGGTTACTAGGGGAAAGCGACAGGAGGCTGGCGAAAGATATATTCTCTCCGCCTCCCCCCTTCCACAAAAGTGTCCACTACAGTGATGAAAGCAATGGAGGCAGGTAGATGAGACTGTTGGATAACCCCGCTGCAAGAAAGCTAGCAGCTACAGACCGCAGCGCCTGTTTTCCCAGGATGGAAATGGGTGCTGACACCTGGGGGGGTGCCTCCTGTTGACCCCAGGAGGGGGGCTAGGTGTGCAAGGAGATTGTTTTGCCTTGCCACACCCAGTGAGCTTCGGGGCCGAGCAGGGATTTGAACCCTAGTCCAGCGCTCTAACCACTATGCAACACTGTCTCTGCTCTTATGCTTGTTACCTCCAGTGGCACTGGGTGGGGGGGGGGGAGGTAGCTGCAGGTCTTTTGCGAAAAACACACCATTTTTTGCTCCCTCTGCAATGAACTGGGAAGCTCTCCTGGTCGCCGCGGCAACCCTCCCTTCTGCAGAGATGCAGCTCCCGGTCGCCATGGCGACCGCATCACTTTGGGGAGCTGTCTCAGGTGCTGTTGCTGCTGCCTCAAGCGGATTCTGCATCTCGTTGCCATCACCACCAGGCCCCACAGCACAAATTATGGCCTGGGCAGCTGTTCTGTGTGCAGATTAAGGCCAGGCAGACCCAGAGAGTCACTGCCAGCCAGGATAGGCCGTCCTGAGGCCTGACTCTGATCCCAACGTTCCTCCTCGCTCCTGTAATCCAAAACAAGAAGCGGAAAACAGGTGGTTTAAGAATGTTTTGACTCGGGTAGTGGACCCCCAAGCTCAGTCACTGCTGTGGGCAAATGCTCTTTCACCTAGCCTTCTCTTGTCAGCTGGGCCAGAGGCCTGTGGTACTCCCTGCTACAAGATGCGCCGGGGTGGGGGGAAGCAATTTCTGCCCAGTGACCTTCTTGGTCCAGAAAATCTTAAGTCCTGAAGTACATTGCAAAAGCTGCAGCCTGCACCCTACGCAGGAATTCTCAGGAACATTTTATTCTTGCTAGTTGTGCTGGGGAAGAGATAAGATATTTCATTGCTCCAACTGTAGCAGAACGAGACTGAGGATCTACCCTCCTCGGTTTGCCCTGAGAGAAGCCAGAAGTTTATCGCCAGAATCGTGTTCAGCTGTGGGCTATGTCGCCCAAAATATCCAGAGGGCACCAGACTGGGGAAGGCTGCTTCATAGTTTCATTTCGCCCATCCTTTGTCATCCACAAGCATGCTGATACCAGCCTCATGCCTGGAGATTTCTGTCGCAGTGCCCAGGTCAGCAATGCAGCCGCAAAAAAAAATGGCTATGGGTTAGCGAGAGAAGCAGGCAGAGGGCCTTCTCGGTGGTGGCGCCCGCCCTGTGGAACACCCTCCCATCAGATGTCAAGGAAATAAACAACTATCTGACTTTTAGAAGACATCTGAAGGCAGCCCTGTTTAGGAAAGTTTTGAATGTTTGAAGTTTTACTCTGTTTTTAATGTTCTGTTGGGAGCCACCCAGAGTAGCTGGGGAAACCCAGCCAGATGGGTGGGGCAGAAATGATAACATTATTATTATTATTATTATTATTATTATTATTACAAAGTGACTCTTCACGACTGATGCTTTTCTCATTGTTAATATAGGACTCCTTCAGGGGAAACCCAGAGGGATTATTATATAATAATAATAATAATAATAATAATAATAATAAGACATATGTACCCATACATAGGGATGCGGGTGGCACTGTGGGTTAAACCACAGAGCCTAGGGTTTGCCAATCAGAAGGTCGGCGGTTCGAATCCCCACGACGGGGTGAGCTCCCGTTGCTCGGTCCCTGCTCCTGCCCACCTAGCAGTTTGAAAGCACGTCAAAGTGCCAGTAGATAAAGAGGTACCGCTCCGGCGGGAAGGTAAAAGGCGTTTTCGTACACTACTCTGGTTCGCCAGAAGCGGCTTAGTCATGCTGGCCACATGACCCAGAAGCTGTACGCCGGCTCCCTTGACCAATGAAGCGAGATGAGCGCCGCAACCCCAGAGTCGGCCACGACTGGACCTAATGGTCAGGGGTCCCTTTACCTTTAAGCCATGCATACCCGCTCCACAGGTGCCAATTCATGACATGTCTGTGCCCCCCAGTGGAAAACCCACAGGACATGTATGCATGAGTGTACCAGGATATTGGGGGGGGGGCAGCCAAAGTTGTTGAGCCCATAAATATCTAGGGGGACCACAGAACCGAAGATAATTGAGTACTTCCAATGCTTTTCAATATTTGCAGATATAGGGGGGGGAACTGCCTCCCACCCCCGCATGCATGCAAACTCCCTTGCAAACAGTCACTGGGGGTTGCATAGCAGAACGAGCTTCTCCCCTCGCTAATGGCACCCACACTCAAGATCCCCTTGTCTTAGCAAAACGCAGAGGGGTGTGTCCCCCCAGAAAAGCCCCCACACTTCACTCCACTTGCTTTGGCGCACAGAGTTTGTCACAGTCTCGCTTTTCATTGGCAAGAGGGGTGTTGTTGTCGTTTAGTAGTGTCCGCCTCTTCGTGACCCCCTGGACCAGAGCACTCCAGGCACTCCTGCCTTCCACTGCCCCCCGCAGTTTGGTCAAACTCATGCTGGTATCTTCGAGAACACTGTCCCACCATCTTGTCCTCTGTCATCCCCTTCTCCTTGTGCCCTCCATCTTTCCCAACATCAGGGTCTTTTCCAGGGAGTCTTCTCTTCTCATGAGGTGGCCAAAGTCTTGGAGCCTCAGCTTCAGGATCTGTCCTTCCAGTGAGCACTCAGGGCTGATTTCCTCCAGAATGGAGAGGTTGGATCTTCTTGCAGTCCATGGGACTCTCCAGAGTCTCCTCCAGCACCAGAATTCAAAAGCATCCATTCTTGGGCGATCAGCCTTCTTTATGGTCCAGTTCTCACTTCCATACATCACTACTGGGAAAACCAGAGCTTTAACTATACGGACCTTTGTTGGCAAGGTGATGTCTTTGCTTTTTAAGATGCTGTCTAGATTTGTCATTGCTTTTCTCCCCCGAAGCAGGCGTCTTTTAATTTCGTGGCTGCTGTCACCATCTGCAGTGATCATGGAGCCCAAGAAAGTAAAATCTCTCACTGCCTCCAGTGGGACCAGTGGCCATGATCTTCGTTTTTTTTTTTATGTTGAGCTTCAGACCATATTTTGGGCTCTCCTCTTTCACCCTCATTAAAAGGTTCTTTAATTCCTCCTCACTTTCTGCCATCAAGGTTGTGTCATCTGCATATCTGAGGTTGTTTATATTTCTTCCAGCAATCTTAATACCAGCTTGGGATTCATCCAGCCCAGCCTTTCGCATGATGAATTCTGCATATAAGTTAAGTAAGCAGGGAGACAATATATAGCCTGGTCGTACTCTTTTCCCAATTTTGAACCAATCGTTTAAGGCCATACAGCTTTAACTATACGGACCTTTGTTGGCAAGGTGATGTCTCTGCTTTTTAAGATGCTGTCTAGGTTTGTCATCGCTTTTCTCCCAAGAAGCAGGCGTCTTTTAATTTCGTGGCTGCTGTCACCATCTGCAGTGATCGTGGAGCCCAAGAAAGGAGGCCAATGGTTTCCTCCCCACCCCCCTTTCCTCCTCTCCCTGTCAGCTCACTGAAAAGAAAAGAAAAAGGGTTACAGGCAAGTCCTTAATGAAAGCCATTCATTCGGTCTGGCTCGGAGGAGACCGGGTGCCTCTGCCAACATCTCTCTCCCCCCCCCCCCCCCCATGACATGCTAAGTGATTTAGGGGTGGGATGCCCATCCCTCGAAGGGCAGCCCCAAATTACCAGGGGCTATTTATTGTGCCACTCCTGGCTTTAACTCGGCCAGATTTTTAAAAAGCTACGCGTTCAGTGAAAAAGGACCCTCTCTTTCCTTGCTTGCCCCCCCCCCCAATGCCCCTTTATTTGAAAGAGCTGCCCTTATTTCATGGAATTACAGCTCTAGTCCGGTCTGCTACAATGCAATATTCTGGATTCCAATCTGATTTTTCACCAAAAAAAAAAAGAGAGAAAAATCAATGCATCATTTTAAAGATGCTGTCTAGGTTTGTCATTGCTTTTCTCCCAAGTCTTTTAATTTCGTGGCCAGGAAAAGGCCAAAATATGGAGCTGTGCAGATGCTAATTTCTAAGGACAGATGCACATTTAGGAAGAAAAGGCTGCTCTTTAATTAAAAGCGCAAAATGCATCTCGGCCTCATTGGGGGCTTAATGCATTTTGGACCTGCAGAGTTTGCTGCCAACTATGGATGGGCAACTTGGAAGGTGAGGCAAGGTGATGTTTGGCGGCTGGAGTGGCAGGCTAGGACCCTGGAGAGACCCGAGTTCAAATTCTGCAACATACTTGGCCATAGAACTCATTCCATGACCTTGGGGGGCCAACTCACTCCTCCTCCCAGCCGAACCGACCTCGCAGGGCTGTCGTTAGGCTAAATGGAGAGGAAGGGAGGAATATATGCACTTTATGAGCTGGGTAAATGCAAAATAATAGCAACCACTGAGAAAAAATATAATTTTCCTTCGCTCCAGGGAGGGGGGGGGGGGGGAAATGCTTCCCACAGCTCCATTTAACGTATAACGTATCTAAATGCACGGTCAAAAACTCTGACCCAAAAGGCAACCAAAGTTTTTAAAGTTTTTATTTATTTATTTATTTCTCATCTTTACAGTAAATCTGATACAGGCAATTAAATAATTCTGCAAATAAAAACAAAGATAAAAACAAAAGAGTTAAAAAGCCAAAGAATTTTTAAGTTATGTCTTCCATTCATACACGTAATAATCGACTTCGATGCAAGCCTTAAAAGAGGTGAAAGGGGTGAAATTTAATAACTATTGAAAAAACAAGAAGCAAGGGAGGTTTTTTTTTAAATTAAAAAAAAAACACCCATTGCCAAAAAATTAAAGTTCGCTTTCGTTTTAAAACAACGCTTCTGTTCTTCCGACAAATTATTAAACAGGAAGTGAGAGATGAGGCAAGCGAGAATCTAAGAGAAAACAAAAGTAAAATAAAAAAAACTCCATCGGTTAATTAAAGTGACTAAAGAGGCATTATTGGGTTCAGTCAATATTTCCCCCTCAACTATGGCAGAACCAGTGGTTTTGTTTCGTTTTTTAAAATTTCTTTTCTATCATCATCTTAGTGCAATGTGTGCCACTATTATAACAGATTAAAACAACTGTACACTAAAGGACGAACAGGGTCAGAGTAGATCCTATTTAGAAGAGAGAGAGAGAGAGAGGGGGAATAAAAGAGGGATGGCGGGGTGAGACAATTAAGACTGACAAGCTTCGTTTTTCACAGCCGCCGCGACCGTTTCCTCTGCGAGGGAATCAGAACAGCCGCCATGCCCAAAAAAAGCCTTTTGTCTGCCATTTTTTTTAAAAAAGAGCTGCTTGCAAGTCAAGAGAGAGATGGCAAGCTATTGCCACACAGAAGTCAAAAGTAGTTAAAGGGGGGAACGGGGACGCTTCAACCCCTGAAGCCGTTTTGGACGGTTGCCACAGATTCTGCACTTTCTAAAACCGGGAAGAAGGGTTTACTGATTTACTGAGAGGACCGGCCAGCAGCAAAATGGCTGCCATCCAAAAACAGAGCGGCGGCCATTTTGTCCATCATGCAGAACTGAGAGAGTGCAGCCATTTCGCTCGGTGGCCAAGATTCTGAGGGAATAATTGGGTTTAATCCTTCCTTAAGTGTATTTAGAGAGTGCAGCAACACACACCCTCAAAAAAAACCCCATGTTTAACGCATATTTTGACGTTCTTCCGCGCAGTCATGGCCGCCGGAAGCTTCCGGAGCGGCCGAGACAAAATGGCTTCCCAACGGTCAACAGTCGGAGGCCCCAAACCGCAGCAATTCCCCCCAAATTAGGAACCAAGATGGCCCACCGCTAACCCCCATAGGGCCAAGGAGCCCCCCGTAGCCATTTTCATAACAAGGGTTTCGTGGCAGGAGCGAAACTGGTAGAAAAGATGGCGAGGGGTGAGAGGAGGGGGAAGGAAAAGAGCTCTGGAAAAGGATGAAAATACGGAGGACTCAGCAGTACCTTAATTTTTAATATATATAAAAAATATCTATATACATTTATTATTATATTAGGAAATATCTCCGGGATGGGAAAGGGGGGGGGAGATTCGTGGGACCTGGGCTTGGGGGGGATCACAGCCTCTGAGCTCCCCACATATGTGGGGTGAGAAGGGGGAGAAAAAATGTCGTTAGAACGAGCCAAAGCAGCATTCCCAAATATTTCGAGAGAGGTAAAGGGGGCAAATGCGGGCCAGATGAAGGGGTGCAGGTGGAAGAAGCAAAGCCGTCGATTTCGGGGTTCGGGGATTGTCTAACAGCAACGGTTAAGGATGTGCCCCCCCTGCACCCCACAACCGCCTTGCTCTTCCTTCAACATCAATGCGCCACCCTCTTCTGAGCATGGAAGAAAAAAGTTAGCTTTCTTTTCTTTTTTAGGGTGCTGGGGTGCAAGGGGATGGGGCGGAGGGGAGGACGGGCCGAGGATTTATTTGGGGGGGACTATCATTCTTTGTTGACCCGGATCTTGAAAGCCACGCGGCCGGCAAACTTGTCCCGCTCGTCGTTCGTGTTGACGTTGGCGGCGTTGACCCTGCACTCGATGTGGTGGTCGTAGTTGAACGTGAGGTTGAGGAATTTGACGGCCACGACGGGCTGCGTGTAGTTCACCTGCGGAAGTGGGGGAGACCGAGGGGCAAAAAATCAGCCGGGGAAACAACCCACGGATCTCGTCTCACGCCCCCCAAAACTCTCGCTTTTCCTCCAAAAACACTAAGGCAGCTTTTGGGCTCGGATTAAGGCGGCAGCCGAAACGTCCGGAGGGCGTCAGGTTGACAAAAGTTAAGTCCGACTCGTGAGCGGCTTCCAAATCTACCGAAAATTTCAGCGCCGAAAACCCCCCAAACCACAAACCGATTTAAATAATAATAATAATAATAATCATATCAATTTATATTTCTTGCCTAGCTGGTAAATACTGGAGAGACTGGTCAGCAAACTTTTTCAGCAGGAGGCCTGTCCACTGTCCCTCAGACCTTGTGGGGGCCGGACTATATTTTGGAAAAAAATAATAATGAACGAATTCCTATGCCCCACAAATAACCCAGGGATGCATTTTAAATAAAAAACACACATTTTACTCATGTAAAAACACCAGGCAGGCCCTATAAATAACCCAGAGATGCATTTTAAATAAAAGGACACATTCTACGCATGTAAAAACATGCTGATTCCCGGACCATCCACAGGCCGGATTTAGAAGGTGATTGGGCCGGATAGTTTGCCTACCCATGCTTTAGCACTTTAACATTGCTCTTGTTTCATTTTTAATTTGTGCACAGACTTTCTGTACCGCTATTTACAAAGCGGTTTATGAGCCACAGGAACGGCAAAATATACAACGGAAATCACACATCCCGCATCAACGTGAGCGGGAGCAATCGGGTCAAAATGGTATGTAGGACTATAGAAATAAATAATGTGATATGCGACAGTCCCTCTGAAATATAATATTGCAAGCGGATCGTTGAATATGATGGCCGAATACTTGAAGAGCTTCCTCCTATTTTGGGATTTAATGCTTTTCCACTTTCTACTTTGGAACAATAAATGTTTAGTCCAAGCCTGCGACACACCTTTGTCCTCCCACCCAATCTTTGTACATCCCTTTAGCAAAAGATGGCGGGACGCGGGTGGCACTGTGGGTTAAACCACAGAGCCTAGGGCTTGCCAATTGGAAGGTTGGCAGTTCGAATCCCTCGACGGGGTGAGCTCCCGTTGCTCGGTCCCTGCTCCTGCCCACCTAGCAGTTTGAAAGCACGTCAAAGTGCAAGTAGATAAATAGGTACTGCTCTGGCAGGAAGGTAAATGGCGTTTCCGTGTGCTGCTCTGGTTTCACCAGAAGCAGCTTAGTCGTGCTGGTCACATGACCCGGAAAAACTGTCTGCGGACAAATGCCGGCTCCCTCGGCCAGTAAAGCGAGATGAGCGCTGCAACCCCAGTCATTTGCAACTGGAAATAACTGTCAGGAGTCCTTTCCCTTTAGCAAAAGATGGCCCCAAGAAACACCCTTTTGGGTTGAAGAGGAGGAAAGAAAAGGCTTGGGGAGTGTGCAATACTTACATGGATTTTTTTGCCGTAATAAGGAAAGTACATTAGGTCAATGTTTCCATTGGGAGGGAACATTGCTATCTCCCCCAGTTTCTGGGCATCCTCCTCTTTCTGTGGGAGGAGAAAAGACGGGTGTCAAAATATATTTTATCCCTCCCCCCCCCCTGACATGCGGCTAGCAACATGCCACCCCCATTCACCTTAATGCTCACTATTCCAAACTCACTTTCACTAACTGTGATATCTCCCTTTCCTATTGCCTGGCTACGCCAGTGGTCATTCTGCCCCCCACTCCCGGTCCTCGCTCGCTGCCCCATTCAACTCTTCTGCCATCCGCTATGTGCATTCAATTATCAAAAATCTCCCCTCCCACTAAGACACAGCCTCCAAGGCCGCCACCCCTGGCCCCGCTTTTCCCAAACCGCATCCAACGTTGTCCTTACTATGAGATCTTCCTTAGGGTTTTTTTTCTTCTGAAGACAGAAACGTAGAAGAAGAAGACAGAGTGAACGCGTGGAGAGACAAAGAAGAAAATAAAGTGAACAAAGGAAAGGCTAAATGAACAGAGGAGGGAGACAGCCATTTTTACAAAAAACGTAAGAGGAACAAACAAAACCAAGGGCTATCAAGACTGTATTTTACACGACTGTGATCCTTTTCTTACACTATCTCTGTACAGTCATACCTCATGTTACGTTCTTTCAGGTTACGTCCCGCGGCGACCTGGAAGTACCGGAAAGGGTTACTTCTGGGTTTCGCCGCTCGCGCATGTGCACAAGCGCTAAATCGCGCATGCGCACGAGCACCAAATCACGCCGCGCACCTGTGTAGATACGGTGCTTCAGGTTGCGCTCTTTTCATGTTGTGAACAGGCCTCCGGAACGGATCCCATTCTCAACCGGAGGTACCACTATATTATCTTACGATGACGGGACAACTTTAAGTTTTGTTAGGGAAGGTGGGAGGGGAGTAAGAGGGAAATCAAATGATATTGTTGGTGTAAATTTCTTCTCTTTTTGAAAAAGCAGCAAAACGGTGTGTGTGTTTTAGAAAAAACACTGTGATCTAGCACCATCCGGAAATCTGAATTGTACACTCAAACCAAAGACATCTGGAAGCTCCAGCTTTCATAAATTCAACAAGATGAACCTGAATGCAAGTCTGGTGACAGATCTCAGAAGCTGGGCGCTGGCGATTGAGCCATGATTTGATAGGGAAAGGTAAAAGATACTCAGAACCCGGACTACCTCTCCGCCTCTTCCTCGTATTGCAAAAACAAGGAAATCGTTTGACATTGCTTAACATGAAGGCGCGGCAAATGTCAACATCCCTTGGCGCAAGAGTTTGAACTGGTTTTTCAGAAGGCTATGCGCTGCCTCGATTACTCACAAAGGGAAAAACTACTGCAGGAGGCAAGAGGTAAAGGAAGTAAAGTGGCTGAGTGGGAGAGCATCTACTTTGCATACAAAAAGTCCCGAATTCGATTTCTGACAGGATCTGAAGGTAAAGCTGGGGGAAAGGCCCTTTTCTGAAATTTCAGGGGGGCCACTGCCAGCACTGAACCAGATGGACTCATGCTCAATAACTTAACAAGGCAGTTCTCCATGTTCTTAACTTCATGACAAGCAGTATTTAAATGCATCGTCAAAGCTGTTAAATATCGCTGGGGTGGGGTTTTTTGAGCCATCCCTTGGTAGGCTAGCTATCCCGATGTCTATCGGGATACCAAATGATGGAACCCACCTGGAGAAATGTTTACATGTGATTTTGTGACCCCTATATAGCAATGCTCAATGAATTTAGAGGCTAACAAATCAACATTTTAAAATAACCCCCCAGCCCTAACAAACTAGAGCAGCTGGGGGAGCCCAGTCGCACGGGCAGGGTACAAGAAATTATTATGATTACAAATTTTTTTTAGTATTATTCTTTCACAGGAGGCTGTGAAGTGTCCTGGGAGATATTTCCAAAAAATATCCCAGCCAATATGGATTTACCCCTGCTAAATATAAAAAAGGGGGCACCCCCAACAGAATTCTGCAATATTCATAGCTACTGCCAGGGGAGAATGTCTCCCCTTTTGATATTAATACTTTTGTGGGATATTCACATTGCAACGAAGAGGTTCGAGTTGGGGGATAGAAGACAAAATTGCAGGAACAGGCCTGTGGCCCATCTAGTCCATTATCCTGTTCTCACAGTGGCCACCTAGATGCCCATTAGGGGATGCCTGGAAGCAGGATTCGAACGCAAGATCCTCCCCTCCACATTTTCCAGCAACTGGTATTCAGAAGCAACCCTGCCTCCGATTGTGATGGGAGAACATTGCCACCTTGGCTGGGAGCCACCCATAGCCCTCTCCTCCTCCAGGAATCTGCCTGATCCTCTTTGAAAGCCATCCAATTTGGCGGCCATCCCTGCGCCTCCGGTAGCAGGGAGTTCCACAGGTTAACTCTGCTTTGCATAAAGAAGTTCTTCCTTTTTCCCAGCGTGAAACTTCCAACAAGGTATTGCGGGACAGGAAGGTTTGGAGCGACTTCTTCCAAGCACAAAAGTGTTTTGGGCAAGAGGAGGCGAGTGGGAATCTAGCCGGGAATGCGGACTGCTGGGTTCTTCCAAAGGGCAAGGCTACTTTTGCGGGCCAGAGGCGATCAGCCCCCTATATGGGTTCTCTCCCCTATATCCCGAAGCGTTGCAGGAAGAGCAGGAAGCAAAAGCTGTCGGGGTTCTAGGATCCGCTAAAGGTCATCTGCCTAAACGGTTCTAGATTTCTCTTCTAATGCTTTGGCAAGACCTTACCTCGTGCTTAGACCGGGGTCTCTGAATATTTTTTTTGGAAAGAGACAAGGAGGAGGAGGAGAGGGGAAAGTGGAGTGTTAATGAAATGGAATGAGAAAGAACAAGAAAGAAAAAATCAAGGAAGAAGAGAAGGAGGAGAGACAAAAACCGGCAGAGCAGTGGCAGATCAGAGGCTTTTACCTTTGCCAGGCAAGAGACGTTGATGGGCTTGCCGTCTCCCGCGTAGAACTTGATGACCTGCCGAGACACAAAAGGGGGGGAGAAAAGAGTTCAGGACCTCCAAATGGCTCTCACTATGCCCTCCCCACCCCACAAAAAATGAAGGGAGCTGGGCAGGGGGGAAACGACACCACCATCTGCAAAAAGACGGGGTGGAATTTGCCCCACTCTGGGAAAGGCTGATGCTTCTGCTTTCAAAACACCAGCCTTCACCGACTCAGTGGCGTCCGGTGGTTCCGCGCTACAACTCCCATGGGAGTTATAGTTCGAAACCACCGGGTCGGCGAAGGCTGCAATTCAGCAGAATTGGGAACAGAACTCCCATCTCCGCAGAAGAAAAGGTTAGGCAGCCTGAAGTTTTTCTGTGCTCCTGCGACCTATCCTCCTAATCCTCGGATGTGGGGATGGAGGGCTCGCAATTCTTAAATCTTGCCTGGGCTGCCCCCCTTCCGAGGGAGTCCGTTGCACTGTCTCCCAAATATTTAGTTTCTTGCTGTTTGGATTCATCGGTTCAGGCCTGCCCGCGAGGAGCAGGAGGAAATAATGAAAAACTCAAGTCTTTTATCGCGTTTTTAATCTTCTGCTGGGAGCTGCCCAGAGTGGCTGGGGAGGCCAGATCAGTGGGGTATAGGTAATAATTATAAGGTAAAGGTAAAGGTAAAGGGGACCCCTGACCATTAGGTCCAGTCATGACCGACTCTGGGGTTGTGGCGCTCATCTTGCTTTATTGGCCAAGGGAGCCAGCGTACAGCTTCCGGGTCATGTGGCCAGCATGACTAAGCCGCTTCTGGCGAACCAGAGCAGCGCACGGAAATGCCGTTTACCTTCCCACCGGAGTGGTACCTATTTATCTACTTGCACTTTGACGTGCTTTCGAACTGCTAGGTTGGCAGGAGCAGGGACCGAGCAATGGGAGCTCAGCGCATCGCGGGGATTCGAACCGCCGACCTTCTGATCGGCAAGCCCTAGGCTCTGTGGGTTAACCCACAGCGCCACCCACGTCCCAATAAATTATTATAAACTGTTATTATTGCCTTCTGCAGACTGAACAGACCCTCAACTGACAAGAGAGGAGTCAGGGCTTCTTAGCCTACCCGGTTCATCTTGACGAGGATACAGGGGCGCCCGTCCCGGTACCCATAAGTGGTGTCGTTGAGGCCCGAGCAGTCGCCCAACATGGTGCGGTTGAACTGGCACGCCGTCTTCGGGTAATTCAACACCCCATTGTCCACCTGCTCATTGTACTGCCCCGGGATACAGTCCCGGTTGCTGGCCACCTGCTTGGCGTTGTCATAAGCTAGAAGAGAAGGAGGAATCGTAAGAGTTTGAAAAGGAACCCCGGGGGTCATCTAGTCCAACCCCCGGCGATGCAGCAGGAGGAAAACGTAGCTCGGCAATAGAACATCTCCTTGACCCAGTCTCAGGGAGTTCCACGGTAGGGAAAGACCCTTTTGATTATGTTTTTTCATGGTAAATCTTTATTAGTTTAAAATACAGATGATCATTTACAACGAAGGTAAATATAAAAGAGAGAAATAGAGAAAGAAAAATCAAGACAAAAGAAAAAGATAAAAAGAAAAAGCCAAAAATTTATACCAAAGCATATCCGTCAAATAAAAACTTATGCTTAAAACTTCCAATCGTTCTCATTTTACTGTTTATATAGCTATGGTTTTATCGCACAGCTTTGCATTATAGCCTTTTTCATATATTCCAAAGGGAAAGACCCTTTTGAGACTCCACAGAAGACAATTCTGGCGCAACAACCGAGCGAGGGTACTTTAAAAAAAACCTGTTTTGTTTATTTTTACGTTTGATCTCACTTTTCGTCCAAGGAGCCCTGTTTTATGCTTCACAACAACCCTGTGAGGTTAGGCCAAGAGCTGAGCGGCAGGCCCAAGCTTCTTTTAAAGCTCATATACCCAAAGCCCCCCAATCCTGGGAAACGTAGTTCTCTGAGGGGTAAACTACAGTTCCCATGATTTTCATTTGATTAGTGCAAATGTAGGCCATTGTTGTTATTGAATTTATTTAATATTTTCCCTCCAACCCCCTTTTAAAAACACATCCAAGACAGGGCCAGCTGCCTCCACATCTCCCCATGTAAAAAATGTTTTGTAGGAAGAGGCGAATAAATAAAGGCTGGCCACAAAATATCATCTGGAAGGACTGCAGGTGCACCACCGTACACGGAATAAAACGAAATTTAAAAACCATGATGGGACAGATCAAATAGCCCAGGTTCAATCTTAATGAGGTTTGTTGGGGGCTATTTGTGGTGCAGAAACCGTGTCTTTGAAGTCGTTCTCCATCCCCTAACATGTGGGAATCGACAGTCCAGGTGTCTACTGAAGCACAGATCAAAAAAGGCTAAATAATCCTTGCAGCACCAGCTCCAAAAAGCACACTGCGTTTTTATAGCGAGACCCTTTTTAAAAAGCAGCACGTCTAAATTATGCAGCTGTAATCCTGATAATGACCCTCCAGAGGTTAGTATTATCCTTGCATTGCTCTGGCATACAGATCTAATGGAGAAAATGACACACAATTTGAGATTTCGACAAGGGCTGCATCCTCCAGACACCTTTTAATAAGATTTGGCATTCTTTTATTAGATATACAGAGGAACAGTCATTTCCAAGACAAGCCTGGCAAATCTGAAACTAGACTTGATAATAAGATAGCCTTTTACTTGGGACTTTGGTATTTTAAACTACTTGCAAATGCACTTGTTCTATGCGGCTATTTTATGGTTTCGTTTCTCGTCTGAAAGCTGGAAAGCTGCTGGCAGTCAGTGTAGACAGCACTGGCCTAGATGGACACCGTCTTGGAGTCTAGTTTCCTGCACTGCTCAGATCTTTGCAAATCCACTCTCTGGTTCTGCCGCCTCTTCCCCACATAGCGCCAGGCAGACACCCCCGTCTCCAATTAACAATCCGCAAAGAATTCCGGTATGTTTTAAATTACGTCTGATTTTATAAGAGAGTGGAAAGCCCCTTGGAAGAAACCGAAGGCGGGTGATTATATAGATCTATGCAACCTGGATTCAAGGGCACCGTGGAGTTTCACCCAGCAAGGAGTTCCGCTGGTGAATGCGCCCAGCTCGTTTTTCACACCTGCCACCTCTAGGGGGCCTCAGCTGCGCATGCTTGCCCCAGCCCCTCTGAAACTTGGGTTCCCGGGTGCTGTTGGACTACAACTCCCATCATCCATTCCTCCCAGGACCCTGGATGATGGAAGTTGTAGTCCAACAACTTCCGGCGACGAGAAAGGGAATGTTGCAGAAGCTTGGGAAAAGGGGGCGTGCAGCCGTTCCTTCCCTAATTAAGTGGTTAATCAGCATCATTGGGCAGAAAGGCCAGGGGGGGAGGAGAAAGGTGTTGCTCCTTCCCCCATCTTACTTACCCTCCAAAAACTTATTTAGCATCCTCACGTATTCCTCCCAGGATTCAGTCTGGCTCATGTTGTAAGTGATGTCCAGCGCGTCCGTCTTGGGGCGAATCATCACGCCTGCAAGGCAGGGAGGGAGAAAAAGAGAGAAATGGTTGAGTTTTGGAGCTCCGCCTGCCCACACTCCTCCCTGAGGACCAGAAACTTGCCTGGTCTGCCCCGCAGAGGACCTTAAGGTCCATGAATAACCATAGTTTAGAGGTCCCGGGCCTTAAGGAAGTCAGATTATCCTCCACCAGGGCCTTCTCAGTGATGGCTCCGACCCGGTGGAATGCTCTGTCCCATGAGACCAGGGCCCTGCAGGATTTAACCTCCTTCCGCCAGGCCTGTAAGAGTTCCTTCTGGATTTCAATTTGAACTTAGCCTGATCTTTTATTCCCCTTCCTTCCCTCCCCCTCCCCTTTTTATGAAGATTACCCACAGCTAATTCTCCCCCGGTCTCCTCGCCGGCCCAAATAGGACTAACTTAGCCAGCTAGCCCTGGTGATCATCTAATGTTTATTGGATGGCTTTCCCCCCTAAATTGATTTTTGAATTCTGAATTTATTGTTATTCATGTTTTATACTGTATTTTATGCTGTTTTTGTTGCATCAATTAAGTGTTTTAAATTTGTTGTTAGCCGCCCTGAGCCCGGTTTTCTGAACTGGGAAGGGTGGGGTATAAATAAAAATTTATTATTATTATTATTATTATTATTATTATTATTATTATTAGATGGCCCCAGCAAGCCCCTCATCTGTGACAAAGACCAGCGGGGAGCTCCTAATTTAAGCCAGTTTAGCAAACAGCTGGGCATATCCACACTGGGTTTACACATTCCTGTACACGGCCAGGACTTGCCCCAAAGGATCCTGGGGGTTGTAGTTTGTGAGAGTGCCAAGAATAGCCCGTTTAACAGCTTCAACCTCCCCTCCCAGGGCTCCATGCAAGAGGGAGCGACTTTCAAAACCAGCTTTTAAGTCCAAAGTGTTAGCCTTCTTTTCTATTTTGGTGGTACCGTGGGGCGGCAGGGGGACATTTCCCCTGAGAACACCCACGTCTCTGAGCATGTACAGAGTTCAATGAACGACCCTAGCCAGATTCTGCACATCAGTGCAGTTCCTAGTGCAAGCTGGCTGGCCATCTGCCAAGGTTGCTTAAGCTGAGATTCCTGCATTGCAGAGGGTTGGACTAGATGACCGCAGGGGTCCCTTCCAACTCTATGATTCTTCAAAGGCACTTCTTTAGACACCAGTGCCTCATGCAAAACCATTTAAACATGCCCCTCTCCACACAGCACTACTTATGTGAAAACCACATAGTTGTCAAGCGTCCCTTATTTGGCGGGACAGTCCCTTATCCCAGCGCCATGTCCCGCTGCTGTCCCTTATTGATGATGTCTCTTAAATAAGCTACTGAAGGTAATGGGGCCCTTTCTATGTCCAGCTGTGCTTTGTCAACAACAAATTGCTGCTGTTTTTTTGTGTTGAATATATGCTCTATGGTCATTTATGGACCTAATAGGTATCTAAAGCCATTTGCACGCAACAAAATATGTATTTTATCAAAGTAATTGTTGATCCCTTATTTTGGCTGCTGATCCCTTATTCTCGAGGCTGCTGGTCCCTTATTTTCAAATCTGTAAGTTGACAGCTATGGAAAACCACCCTTCAAGCAGAAAGCTAACACCTCAGGGAGAACGCCAGGCTAGAGCCGCTCTCCTTGTTGCTTTCTGCCTGCTTTCTGCCTGCGGGGACTTTGCGCGCGATCTGCACGCAAGGTTGCAAGCCAAGGCCTCACCTGGGATGGAGAGGCGGTCCTGGTATTTGGGATTGAACTGGTCCACCGTCTGCAGCATAACCCACATCGTGAGGGTGAAGAGAGCCGTGAGGAAGCCGTAGAAGACAAGGTAGAACAGCAGGATCAGAGCTGGAAGGGGCAGGGAAAAAAATAGATTAAATTGAGGAAAGAAAGTCAGGCAGTGAGGTCCAAAAACTGTAGCCATTAGAATTGACCCCCATTCTGTTTTCTTATCAGATCCCCACCTCATGCTCCCCTCTGCCAGAGGGGATGCTGTTCTTAGACAGGCCTGCAAATGAATATTGTAGAACAGCCTTTGCCAACGTGGCGCCCTCCAGGGCTATTGGGACTCACCAGCCTCCACCCAAAACTGCCATTTTGGACTATGACAGCATTAGAAACTCAAGTATATAGGCTAATCGCAAACCTTAAAGCTAGGTTTCGGTTGCCACAGCAAGTTATCTCAAGGAATATTTTTATTTATTATTATATTATTATTATTATTATTATTATTTTATATTTCATTTCTATACTGCTTTATATTTTAAAGAACAAGTCTCACAAAAATGTCACACAAAAACACACAAAAATGTCACATAACACAATCCAGATTAAAACAACTTCATATGAAGTTGACTATTTTTTTTCTTGTTTCTTTCTTTTATCTTTTGTCTTTCTTTTCTAGTTTGCATTCTGGAAAACTGGGTAGATAAAATGTTTTTATCTATGGTTATGTATTGATTCTATTTATTTTTTTTCTATTCATTTTTTTGTAACATTTAATAAAATAAAATAGAAAAAAAAAACCAACAACTTCAAGTGAAATATTTCAAACCCTCCTCTAAAAGACATTTTGCAGTCGCCAGCCGGTCAGCCGGCGGTCGCAATTGGACCCACGCCAGTCGCAAAACACGCCTAGCTCATTTCTATACCCGACTACGACTCCCACCAGACCCCAGCTAAACAGGGTGGTTTCGGACTACAACTCCCATCAGCCGCAGCCAGCACACCTGTGTCACATCCCAAAAGAAGCGCCGGTTTGACAAAGGCCGCTCCAGAAAAAGAGCTTGCAAATTGCTACCGCCTTATGTCTGCCCTGCCTTTGAAACGCCTACGAAACCGTAACGTCTTTTGCCCATCCCGAAATTTTCCTCTGCAGCACCTGCCTGCCTCGCTAGGGCGTTGTGCCAATTTAATTAGATGATTGACGAAGCGAAGGAAACCAGAGATGGCCCCCACACACACTTCGGCACAGTCGCCAGATATCCCACGAGGTTCAGCAAGAGGGCAGCTGGGATATACATGGCAGGCAGGCTTTAGGGCCAGGGAATTGAAAAGGGGGGCTTGGACTGAACCCCAAACCCCCCCAAATCTTTGATACACCTTTAGCGTGTTTTAACACTCCTTTAGCTTGTTGCATGCTAAAGGGCCAGGGGTGCAGTGTCTGCAAAAGGTCCCGGGATCAGTCTTTGACAGTTTGGTTGGTAGAGCAAGAGATTCTTAATCTTAGGGTTGTGGGTTCAAGCCCCACATTGGACGAAAAACTCCTGCATGGCGGGGGGTTGGGCTAGATGACCCTCAGGGATCCCAATTCTACGATAACCTCCCGATCCGGCTAGGAGATACCCTCCCTGCCTGAAACTCCAAAAATGAAGATTTTAATTTGGTCGCAAGTGGCCAATGGCAAAATGCGCCAGGCATGTTTTGAACGCTTCCCAGGCCACAACCTCTAAATCCCAGATTCGAGTAAGTACTGTATATTTTTCGCTGAAAAGTCCCAGCGCTGGCCAAAGCAGACCTGCCCCTAATATCATCCCCTTCCTCTCCTCTACTGCTAGGCAAACCTACCTTCCTCAAACTCAGCCCACCAGATGTTTCTGGCCTACAACTCCCATGATCCCTTGCTAGCAGGACCAGTGGTCAGAGATGATGGGAATTGTAGTCTCAAAACATCTGGAGGGCTGAGGTTGAGGAAGCCTGTGCTACGGCCACAGTTGCTCTCCCTCAGTGGTACCTTTCTGCTTAATGTGGATTATGAACCCATCTGTGTCTCCTTTAATTCACCCTCGTTCTCCTCCCTCCTGCTTCCCTGCACTTTCACCTCCCTAAATCCACAGATTCCCAGCTATTCGGTTTTTCAAATCTTCGGGATTCTTCCACTTTAGGGAGGAGAAAGTGTGGGGTGGCAGGAGTTGCGAGGGGAGAACCACTCAAATTCGAGGAGGCACAAGGAGTTCGCAATGGGCAGGGCCCTTAATCTCACGGTGCATAGCTGAACTATGGAACTCCCTGCCACAAGATGGCCAACAACTTGGGGGTGGGCTTCAAAAGGGGATGCATGGAGGAAGGGGGGGATATTCATAATCAGTTGGAAGCCCCCGAAAAGTGCAAAAGGTGGTCAACTTTACAGCCACTCTGCTAATTTGTAATTGACTAAAATACTGCTGACAACATGGTGGAACATTCAAGTAACCGGGTGGTTGTTTTTTTTAATCCCCCAGGAGCCAATGATTAGGGTTTTTTATTTATTATTAACTTCCAACTATTCCTTATCTCATTATTTAAGACAAGGAGAGTCTCCCAAAACAGTTAGCGAAGGAAAAAAGCCCAGAGTCCAGGCCATGGGCTTGCAAACTGAAGCCTTCGGCCTGACATATAAAGCCAGGTGGGATCCAAGCCGTTCTCTAGAATTGCACAGGATTTACTCAAAGTTTACACCTAGGTCTCCTAAGACGTCCGAGCACAGGCCCCTTTGTGGAAATAAGCAGTTGCATTAATCCCAAAGATGACTCCCAACTCAGGTCAGCGGAGCTCTCCGTTTACTGTGTAATTTACTGAAGTGGGTCGCTGGTGCCATTTCGCAGATTGGGGAACTGAGGCCAAGAGGAAGTGACTAGCTAGAGACTCCACCCGGCGAGAGAATCTGACCCACAGGAATCCCAGATCCAGGTTGCAACACATTCATTCAATGTAGGCCACGCAGATGGAATAAGTAGGCTATCAGAAGGAACCATCAAGAGACACAATTCGGCACAAGTCAGAAAGTAAACAGAGGCTAGGAGGGACAGAAACATTGTGTGTTTGTGCACAGGAGCCTCAAACTTGTGTACGAAAATATGGAGACAGTTAGGATAATATCAGAGCTGCCCAATGCTTTGTTTAAGATACATCCCTGTATGTTTGAAATTCGCCAGGCAATTCAAAGAAACAAACTCAACAAATCTCAGGGCAAATTCTTATCCAGCTGCCCCCCAGGAACCCACAGCACAACCTGCCCCCCAGCTGAGTGTTAAAATAAGCAACTCCTGGCAGCAGGGTCTAGGGGTCACCCTCGCACAAATCCTGCGGCGTTTTTTCAACGCACAGAGACAAGACAGAGCAAAGCTCACATCCAGGGTGTTAGCCAATGCTTAAAGTTACTCAAGAGCCAAGCCTGGAACTGGATATCCCATCACCTCCATAGGCACCAAGTAGTGCGGTGTAGTGGTTAGAGAGTCGGACTACACAAGAGCAGGGTTCAAATCCCCTCCCCATTCAGCCACCTTGGGCCAGTCACTGTCCTTCTGGGCCCAGCTTACCTGGCAGGGCTGTTGTGGAATTGAATAGGGGGAAATCGATGAGCTCTCCGGAGCAAGAAAAAAAAAAGGACCGTTGGGATGCCAGTGGAATAAATAAGTAATAAAGTGCATTTCTGAAGCACCCTCTCCAATGACACACACACACAGAGAGAGAGAGCAAACCTGCAGCTTGCAAGACATTAACCCCAGAACCTCTGGGCCTTGCAAGCCAAAGCTGAGCTGACAGACAAGAGATAATCCTGTTTGCTGTGTCTGGAGTTCTTGCTCTCTCTCCAAAACACACAGGCATTTATAGCAAAAGAAATATGGGCATCCACAGAGGGGGAGCAAGGGGGCATTCTGCCCGTCCCCCAAAAACACACACACACAACCCCCAGATCCCCAGCCTTTTAATTTTTTAAAAAATGCATTTATAACCTTTGTAGAACCCAGGATATAAGGCAGAACATGGAAGACCCATCCCTGGCAGTTTTTGTGAGAAATGTGTCTGCTCCTCCTTTTGGCGTTTGGCTTTGCCTGCCACCCAAAAAACTCCCACCCCCTCAAAAAAAATAAAAATATTTTATATTCCCACGAGCAGAAATGAGATTACAAAATTTAAAAAATGATGGGTTTCTTACTCCCTCGAAGAATCCACAGTCTCTTCCCCTGCCCTCTAAACAGCCCCTTTAAATTATCCAGCCCCCCAATGTAAAAGCTGCCCCCTTTTACCCCCTTCCTTCACATCCTCTCTCTCTTTGCTACATTTAAGCACCTGCCTTGTCCTGTCTCCCCTCCCAGCCTCCCCATGGTTGGCCAAATCCTGCCAAATCCAGCCCCCACTGCCCTTCTTCTCGTCCCAGAAATGTCCAGCCCTCAGATCAGGCCTCCTACCGTCCCCCTGAGATCCTTTTCACCCCCCAAAACACCCACAACTAGACATCTCAGCTTAAAATCCTGAGCACCCATTGCTTGTTGTGTGGGTCTCTCTCTCCCTCACCCAATGCTGAAATATCAGGCCTCGTTTCCACCCTAGAGAAGACCCCATAACTCTTTCAGGCTCACCCATCCCTGCTCTTTTGCCTAAGGAGAACCCCAATTTTTGGGGTCCCCAATATTGACTGCCTGCATTCTGCACCAAAACCCATCTTCCTGCTGCTGTTTCCTCCACTTCCTGGCACCAGTGGGTACCATTTCCCTCCCCCCCCAGACATTGGCATGGGATGGGGGGCATATCTGTGACCGATGAGGTTCCTGAACCATCACCTTATTACAGAGATAACTGCTTCTCCCCCCTAAAATAAACCCCGCAAGCGAAGCTTGCATCCTTTCACCTGCCGCTAAAATGCTTTTTCCAAAGAAGTATGTGGGAATGGTGCCCCCTTCCCCACAAGACCGCCTTTTGCCCCATGGAGAAATCGAGGCAGCGATGTCTCCTCCGCCAACTGTATTAGGCAGGGCGAAAAGCTGCGCCAACTCTCTCTTCTCCACACCGCTTGCCAACGTCTTCGCTCCGCAGCGCCAAAGGCAACTGAACCCCGAGCCGAGCCAAGATGGAAACCCCCCTCCACAAAAAAAGTGCTGTCAGATCTTGGCCTGGTTTCCTTCCTTCCCCCACACGCCGGATCAGGATCAGCTACTGCAGCGGGGGTGAAGTGCCATCAGCTTTCTGCAGTGAAATGCAAGCCAGGATCGGGGGGGGGGGGCCGTCTTGTTCCCCCAAAACCGCTCCGCACGTCGCCGGGTCTCAAGAGTGCACAAAAGCAGAGAGTCATAAATTGCAATAAATTGGTGGGGGGTGGAGGGGGGGGGGAGGGGGAACCAGATTATCAACGCAGCTTTGGTTCGCAATCAAAGGGGATGACCCCCCCCCCCAAAAAATAAAACAGAGCAGGGAAAAGGCTGCTGTTGAACCAGATGCTGCAATTTTCTGGCAAGGAAAACTGCAAGAGATTCGAGTTTAGGAGAGTGGGAGACTTGTGGGATTTGACAAAAGCAGGGCGGGAGGGGGCAGATTTGTGGGGGGGGGGTTGCAAGGAGGGGGCCAGAGCCTGACAGAAAGGTTGCAAGCTTTGGGGAAAGGAATTTTCCCACAGGCAAACAAGGTTTCCAAGGGAGAAGGAGAGCTTGCCAGGTTCCTCAGGAGTTGCAATGCGACAGACCCAAAGGTTGGACTTCTGTCAAACGGTGGGAAGTCCTTCTCTATGCCCCCCCCCCCAAATTTTCTTCCCTCTCACCCTCCAGAAATTATTCAGCTGCCCCTTTCCCAGTTTGAACCACCACCTCGCTTCCCAGCCATCTACATATTGTTGCAATCCCCAAAAAGGCGACTTGGGGCTGCCAGTAAGGTGGGTAAAATTGGGGGGGGGGATCAAGAGGTACACAGACTTGGAGGGGGGGGTAGAAAGTCTGGAAAGGGGAGAATTCAAGAATCTGCAGTGGGAGATCTAGAAAGGCCTGGCCACATTTACACGGGTGGTTTGAAGAGGAAATCTCATAATGTCAGCTTGCTGGGGTGGGCAGGGAGATAGAGAGATCTATAAATCAACTGTCTCACAGATCAAGGGGGTCACCATTGGAAGGGAGGGTTCATTGCTCAAAGCAGATCTAGGTACGCATCTAGTTTTTATGGAGGGGGGGCGCAAGACAGAGAGGATGGGAAGCAAGGAAAGGTTTGCCAGCAAACCAGCATTTTGCCAAAGGGGGGCATTTTAATCAACGTTTTGCAAGCCTGATTATTTTTCGAAGCAGGACAAAGCGACAGAGGCTGTGAGAAGCCCCCTCCTCTCTGGTGCCAGGAGACTGGGGGGGGGGGGCGCGAGCTTGTTGACAGACTGGGCAGGCGGTGGGGGGGGGGGAGAGAGGGGGCCTCGCAAGCCAACTCCACAGAAGGAAAATAATGACCTACTTTTCCTGCTGCTCTGGCCTCTGCTGTTGCCTACAACACCCTTCTTCCCTGCATCAATCGATATTAAAAATTGGGGGCTGGGGGAGGAGAGAGCCCACCATCAACCCCCCCAAAAAACAAGAACATCAGGAAACAGAAAGCCCCATACAATCTCTGCCCTTTTTGGGGGGACACAGACCCTATACAGGACCTGATCGCTGGGACTATAAGGCCCCCCCACAAAAATATATATATTTTTCAGGCCTATTCCACTCTGTCATTACTGCAACATTTCCCACACACATTTAATATCGCCTCTCATCCTCAGCAAATGATCGGGGGCCCCCCAATCTTCAGGGATGCAGTGACTCCCTAGGCACCCCACTTCTCCTCCCCCCCCCCAAACACAGCAAATGCTCCCCCAATTTTTTTTCTTCAAAGCATATAATGATTTTGTTTCCTGGGCAGCCTCCACGCTCTGATCTGTTCTCCTTTCAAATTGGGGTCTTTTAGCTCTGTCAAATATACACACACACATCCCTCCCCCCAATCTGCTTTCTCCAAGGGGTGCTGTCCCCCCTCCCAATTTGCAAAAACTGCAGCAAGATCTCCAAAATTAATTCTCTTCTGCACCTGCATTCATGACCGGTGCATGTCTAATAGTCTCGTATCTCTCCATTTTGTAGGTTATGTTTGTGTGTGGTTTTTTTTTGGGGGGGGGGTTGAGGTCAATCTTTGACCAAAGAACCAGATACACCCCCCCTCCCCTGTTTATCAACCTGCCTTCTAGAACATTGCAAAGGCGAGATCCTCTCCCCTTTCCATTCTACCCCACAAATGCAGAACAGACTCCCAGGGGAAATCCAGTTTTATCCATCTTCAAATTTCACTTCATGGCCTGGGTGGCGATGGGGGTTTTTTTTGGGGGGGTGCTTTGCCCAGGGTGTAAATAACCCAATATGGTTTTTTCCCCCTTTCCTTTTTAGGGTACAGCCTTGGCTGCTATTCAAGGACTTAGATCATCTCACCCCCCCTCCTTCAAATTCAAAAATTGAGAATTATTTTAGAATGGGGCCCTGTTTGAATTCCAGTCTCCCTGCTTTTCTTCCACCCTAAACACTAATCTATAACATATATAGATTTTTATTGTATTTTTTTAACATAGACGCCTAATAACCCCCTACTGAAATTTCCCATAAGGACCCTTTCCATATTAACCACCCTCCCCAAACAAAATCCACACGAAACCCAATTTCCCCCTTGCATTTCCTATCTTACTCAAGGTCTGCAGTTTCCCTGGGGCCACCCCAGCAGTCCTCCATATCTGCATGCCCCCCCCCTTTCAGGATCGCATCACCCATCACAACCCCCTCCTTTTTTTTCTAGTCCCCCCACCAAAGCACTCTGAGATCTGCTAGAGAAATTTCCCATTTTCCCCCTCCAGAAAGACCGCCCCCCATCACAAAACTCCCCCTTACATAACCCTCCCCAAAGCACCCCCCTATTTCAAAAACCCAGGTTAGAAAATCTCATGGGCGATGCCCCCTTTTATTTTATTTTATTATTAAAGAAATAAAATAAGGGGGAGACATGAGAATATTCAGAATCTCCTTTCCAAGGAGAGGGACCCCGATTTTCAGCCAAAACTTTGCTTTTGGCTCTCATAGTCGCCCCCCCATCCCTAAAATAATCCCTTTCGTGGCCCTGTTCTCTGTCTCCACCCCCCCCATCTCCACTAATCTCCCCCTTTAAATAATCTCCCTTGGCTAGGAGTCCTTGAACTATCTTGTCATTAAATCCTGCCTTGGGGAAGGAGGAGGCGGCGGGCAGCCTCAAGATGCAGGATCAGGCCCCCCCACTCCCTGCCTGCGTGCGCCCCCCCCACAAAAAAACCCCAGACAAGACAGGCTCACCCCAGCTGCTCCCGGTGCGCCCCATAAACTGATGCGTGCGCGGGTTCCAGATAAATTCCTTCCACTCCGTCATCACTTGCCCGCAGGTCTTCTTCTCCTTCTCGACGGCCATGGTGGCTTCAAAGTGGGGGGGTCAGATCCTGGCAAGGGGAGGGGAGCAAATAGGGGGCTGGGTCTTCAGAGGTCTCCCCCCAAAACAAGGATGCCCAGGGAGAAGGAAGCAGGAGAGAGAGAGAAAGATGCAGGCGCAAAAACTAAGCTCTTTGCAAGGATGCTCAGAGCGCCTCCTCCTCTGGTGCAAAGGGAAAGAGGCTGGAGGAGAGGGAGGGCTCCTATTTATTGCCCTCGCCCCGCCCCCTCCTGCCCTCGCCCCGCCCCCTGCTCATGAATATGCACAGGGCGACGCCTCCGCCCCCTTTTCCCCATTCAGGATTTTCCCATCGGGGCTGGGCGGTTTTCTTGAAAGAGATGTTGGGCTGAGCCCCATTTGGAGAGGGAAGGGTGTTTGGGGAGGGGGGAAGGGGGAAAGGAGTTGCCCCCATCAGGTTTCTCAGGTCTGCTAGGTTTGGGTCAACCCCCAATTAGAGAGGGGTGGGTGGGAAAATGCGCTTTTTTTTTATTTGCATTGCGTGGAATTTGCTGCCTTTGCATGGGCATGGAGTTTATTGCCTTTGCATGGGGATGGCATTACCTGCCACCCTTCGGAATTGCTGTTGGCAAACTCATTTCCACTTTGCCGTCTCCTTGTCTATATATACATATTAGTTTTTTATTTATTTTATTTTATTTTATTTTTATTATTTATTATTATTTATTATTATTAGTTTTTTTAACATACTATTTTCAACAGTAATTAAACATATTTTTACATCCTATTCAATTTTTTCTGACTTCCATCAGTCCTGTCTGAAAATGTTCCCATCTAATCTCTTAGTATACATTTCTTATTTTCCCTGTTACATTTAAAACTCATAACCAATATCTCTATTCTTTATCTACTTTGTAGCACTTCGTATATTTCTCCTTGCAAAACTTCTTGTAGTCCTACTAGCGTAATGTGTTGGTTACAATTGCTCTTCAAATAGTTCATATACTTCTTCCAATCTTCTGCGAATCTCTGGTCCCGCAGGTTTCGAATCCTTCCTGTCATTTTGTCCAATTCTGCATAGTCCATTATTTTCGTTTGCCACTCTTTTTTTATCGGAATGTCTTCTTGTTTCCATTTCTGGGCTAACAATACTCTTGCCACAGTTGTTGCATATAAAAACAGTTTAACATCTTGCCTACTTTGCCGTCTCCTTGACATCCGGGGCAGGAGCCTGTGGTACTCCCTGCCACATGATGTGCCGTAAAAAATAAAAAAGATTTCTCCTTTCTGCCCAGCAAACGCGCTTGGTTTCTGAGCCCTGAAGCAGATTGCAAATGCATCGCCCTGCGCTGCAAAGCAGGAACGTCGCTGACATTTTAATTGTTGCATTTATATCCCCCTGTCCTACATTCTTCTCCCCCTTCCTCATTTAGTCCCACAACAACCCTGTGAGGCAGGTCAGGCTGAGAGGAGCCATAACCGGCTCAAGGTCACCCAGAGAGGTTTGTGTCTGAGTAGGGGATTTGAACCCATGTCTTTCCCAGGTCTGACACTCTAACCACTGCACCACACTGCTTTATATACCACTTGGTTGTAAGGGTGGGGAAACCCCCAATAAAAGATAAAACAATGAAATTATCAATAAGAGGCCATAGCCTAAAACTTTCCAAAATAATTAAAATAAGAAAAAAAACAGGTTCAAACTCTCGTCGGCTTTCTAAACATCTGGGTAGGCTTGTCCAGTGTTTTGAGCAGGCGCTGAAAAGAGTGTGTTGAAGGCGTCTTCCTGATAATCAATTGGCGGGGAGTTCCAAAGTGTAACTTTTGCTGAAAGACCGAGTTCTGGCAAATAGGAAATCTGTACAATTTGGCCTTGGGAAGATGACTTTTCTTTGCCACTCAGTTTTTGCTAACCTGGAGCTGCTGGTTATGTTTTTTTAACTGAACGTTATCATTGTAAGATTATGGGTTGCGGTTGTTTTTAAATGTCATATTCCACCTTGTTATTTTTTATTTATGAAGTGCAGTTTATTAATATTTAAATGAATGCATAATGCCCTTTGATGCTTTGCAAAAGGGCAAACGATCCCAGGGATGGATGGATGGATGGAGAGACGCTCCGCTGGGAGGAAATCTGACCGCGTTGGGGTTTTTTGGGTTTTGACAAAAGAACAGGAAGAGGCAACATGGTAGAAGCTTATAAAAATGACGCCTGGCGCGAGGCAAGTGGAGACAGAAAAGTTTTTTTCTCCCTCTGTTGTAATGAGCATTCACTGTTGCAGAATGTGGGACAGTGCAGAAGATTTGGGACAGAGGAAAGAAAGCAGAGTTGGACTGTGGAACTCCCTGCCACAGGGATGGCCATGAGATAAAGTAAAGGTAAAGGGACCCCTGACCATTAGGTCCAGTCGTGGCCGACTCTGGGGTTGCGGCGCTCATCTCGCTTTACTGGCCGTGGGAGCCGGCGTACAGCTTCCGGGTCATGTGGCCAGAAGGACTAAGCCGCTTCTGGTGAACCAGAGCAGCGCACGGAAACGCCGTTTACCTTCCCGCCGGAGCAGTACCTATTGATCTACTTGCACTTTGACGTGCTTTCGAACTGCTAGGTTGGCAGGTGCTGGGACTGAGCAACGGGAGCTCACCCTGTCACGGGGATTCGAACCGCCAACCTTCTGATTGCCAAGTCCTAGGCTCTGTGGTTTAACCCACAGCGCCACCCGCATCCCTGGCCATGAAATAGAGGGCTTTAAAAGATGAGACAAATTCAAAAGGCTCTCGGTGGCTACTAGCCGCAGCAGCCACGCTCTGCCTCTGCAGTTGAAGGCAGCAATATTTGTGAATACCAGTTTCTGGAAACCACAGGAGGGGAGAGCGCTGCTTTCGCACTCGGGTCCTGCTTGCGGGGTTTTCCAGAAGAGGCATATGGTCACCGGCCCCTGTGAGAACAGGATGCTGGACTTGACAGGCCGCTGGTCTGGTCCTTCGAGGCTATTATTATGTGCTTTGAGCTTTTATATCGAGAGAAAGGGTCTCCTGAGCATACACAGAGGGCCTTTCTCCGGTGGCATAACCAGCAGAGGAAGTGTGGGTCCTGTAAGCATCTTGGGACTGAACGACCGCGATATACCATATTTTTTGCTCTATAAGACTCACTTTTTCCCTCCTAAAAAGTAAGGGGAAATGTGTGGGCGTCTTATGGAGCGAATGCAGGCTGCGCAGCTATCCCAGAAGCCAGAACAGGAAGAGGGATCGCTGCTTTCACTGCACAGCGATCCCTCTTGCTGTTCTGGCTTCTGGGATTCAGAATATTTTTTTTCTTCTTTTCCTCCTCCCAAAACTAGGTGCATCTTATGGTCTGGTGCGTCTGATAGAGCAAAAAATACGGTAATTATCTCCGGTGCAATGAAGTAATAAACCTGCTCTCTCGCACAGCCTACGCTCACCTAGGAGGAAAAGGGAGATTTTGCAAGCAGGAAAGTCAATTCATCCTTCCTTGTATCCTTTGATGAACTTGATGGGTTTCACTTCTCTCTCAGCTCCCTTTACTTCCTGCCATGACTTACAGGTTGGAAGTCCTTATATAATGTGTGCGAGAGCTGCTCTGGTTGCCAACTTACCACCTGGCCAAGTTCAATGAGTGTATAAAGCCCTTAACGTCTTGGGATCATTTTACCGCAAGATTGCCTCACTCCCCAAAATGCACTTTGACCTGCGGAGCTGGCCCTGTTCCAGGTCCATACCCATTTGGCATTTGCAAAGGAATCAATTCTTTTTCCTACGGAACTCCCTGCCAATTGATACCAAGCTGGTGCCTTCAAAGCGCTCGTTTCGGAGCTTGCTGGAAACATTCTTGTTTGACAAGCCACCCCAGAAATGAACAATGTTGATGTGTGTTTTCATCTCTCTTTTTATTTTTATTTTCTTAAATAATCTTTATTAATTTAAATTACAAAGAATTTACAAACAGTACAATGAGAATGATTGGAAGACTCGTTTTGGCAGAAGACTTTTTTATTTAAGTGTTTAATTAAGTATTAATCAGGAAGATTAAGTGTTTTGTTATGTACGTAAATTTGCTTTCTCTTCTTTCTATATTTTCTTTTCTTTTTTCTTAATTCTTTTTTCTTTAATTTTCCTTTCGTAGTAGGAGATTGTAAAATCTTTGTCAATCTCTCTCTCTCTTTTTAAAGTTTATTGTTGATTTTATTTTATTTTTCCAACGGGGCTGTTTTGACGGATAATTTCATCGTAACAAAGGCAGGTGTTTTAGATCGCCGCTCTGTTTGGAGATCGCCAGGTTGGGCGAATCTGCTCTGCGCAGACACAAATTTCCCTGTGGCTGGCTTCTGAGTTTCTGCGCATAGGAACACGATGTCCTGAAAGCTTCTGATGGCTATCAGGAAGTTGACATCCATCAAGCAGAGAGGTCAACGGTCTGTTGCTGTTGGGGTGGAGGCCCATTCATCCGGGCTCCGGGCGTGAACCAAGGCTTTCAGGGATGAATGCTAGATTGCAACATCCCGGATCTCTGATTTCTTCACGGTCTCGATCCAGGTGGATCCTCAACGGTCTGAGACGCATAGCTCAACTTCCTGCAGCCTGGGGTGCCCTGTATTGAAATACCGTATTTTTTGCTCTATAAGACTCACTTTTTCCCTCCTAAAAAGTAAGGGGAAATGTGTATGCGTCTTATGGAGCGAATGCAGCAATCCCTCTTGCTGTTCTGGCTTCTGAGATTCAGAATATTTGCTCTGGTTATCTTTCGCTTGGACTACTGCAATGTGCTCTATGTGGGGCTCCCTTTGAAGGTGACCCGGAAACTGCAATTAATCCAGAATGCAGCAGCTAGACTGGTGACTGGGAGCGGCAGCCAAGACCACATAACACCGGTCTTGAAAGACCTACACTGGCTCCTGGTACGTTTCCAGGCACAATTCAAAGTGTTGGTGTTGACCTTGAAAGCCCTAAATGGCCTCGGTCCAGTATATCTGAAGGAACGTCTTCACCCCCATCGTTCTGCCCAGACACTGAGGTCCAGCTCCAAGGGCCTTCTGGTGGTTCCCTCATTGCAAGAAGTAAGGTTACAGGGAACCAGGCAGAGGGCCTTCTTGGTGGTGGCACCCGCCCTGTGGAACACCCTCCCTTCAGATGTGAAGGAAATAAGTAGTTATCCTATCTTTAAAAAAAATCTGAAGGCAACCCTGTTCAGG